TGTTTGCAGTTGAATTTTAAACTTGATCTTGAAATGYYGTGCTTTCTTTCACTTGTTATATGATCTACAATTTTGTTGATTTGATTGGTTCTCTTTCTCCATGATAATTCTTCTAAATTTAGAATATTGTAAGGCGGTTTTTGCAGCTCTTGGTTATTTTGAAAAAAACCCCTGCCAGAAGGTCATTTTAACCAAAGGATAAGTGTGTACACATGGAGACATAATGTAACTACATGTGTAAACAGGTTGAAGGAATTCATCAAGGAACAATTAGTTAGCATTCCTACAGCTGCAAAACCTCCTGCACYTGTGGCTCARCCAACTACTCYARCCATTGCARCATCAGACCCGGGGGCTATGCTCGCTGGTTTGCTGTAAAAAACTTTGAACAGAATATCATCAAATACAAGCCCATTGTCAACAAACTGTAAAATGGTTTATATTAGAAGCAGGCAATGATACAAACAAGCGTGGGTTGGCGCCGGGATTAAAAGGTAAGCTTACAAACGAGCGGCATAGCAATAGAGTTGGATTTGAGAGGGGTTTGATGAGTGGAATTTTTTTCAGGTTGTGTTATTAGGTCATGTTTTCTTTCTCATTTTTAGTGGTGAGGGTTTATCTGTTTATATAAGTTTTTTTTTCGGTCTTTTCCTTCGGTTAGTTTTCAACATTTACCTTTGATATTTATTTAATGGTCATGTTGCAATTGGATCAAATTGGCTGTGTAATATGAATAGGATGTGAAAAATTGCCAAAGGGTTGAAGTTGACTGTAACTTTATAATTGCATTTGGTTGCCGATTGATTTGTAGTTTTGATTTGCACCTTTTACTGATTGATTTGTAGTTTTGGTTGCCGTCTTGTCCCATGTAATCTGCATACCAAACGCACCCTTAATGAACTTTTTACATCCCGCCGCATTGCGCGGGTAGACAACTAGTATATATATATATATATATATATATATATATATATATATATTTATTTATTTATTATGAAAACTTTGAGAATCAATGTATCATATAATTTAATATCATTTTTTTCCATATACGACTTAGATTTAGTGTATTGATTAATATTTATTTGTTTCACAATGTGTTTCTTTTACATACATTTATTTTACAATGCGAATATTTTTTATGTGTTTATGAAACAAAAAATACAATTAAAAATTTCATATTGTGAATCAAATACATATAAAATAAACAAATATGTATTAGTCAATATATTAAATTTTAGCTTTAAATGGAAAAAAAAACCATGTTAAGCAATAACTTAGGTAGTAGTTCTCACTGTTATCACAATATATGAGATTTTTCATATGATTAGGTTCATATATATATATATATATATATATATATATATATATATATATATATATATATATATATACACTATATTATAAAGCATTTGACAAATTCTTAAAAACTACTTTCTATACATGAAGTACTGTTTTATTGATGCATATTATTTAAAATTCAAGATTACAAGTAGATTATGCTTAAGTACAACTTATTAAAGCTCTATCTTTGAATTTTTGTAATTAACTATAGATAAACATAATCAAATACAAGATAAACATCTCATTAATATAAAAAATATAAAATATAATTAGAATAATCATTAAATTCTAACATAATACTTAATTATTATTTTTATAAAAATTATATTATTAAATCTAAATTAAATTATAAATAAAAAAATTGAATTAAGGAAATTACACCAAACACAATAACTTTTAGAAAGATTAATTTGATACTGATATCGATATATTTTTTTAAATTTTTTATAATATTTTAAAATTTATATTTTATTCAAAAATAAAAACATTATCGTTTTCTCAAAACCACATAAAACCGTATTATATCGACATAAAAAGGGAATAAAACGGAACAGTGAAATCAAGATGTATCTCGATGCGCACACATATATATAAAACATATTATAAAATTTAGAGGAATGATCATTGAATAGAGTTAAATATTTTGCGAGACAGCAAGAAGTTTCAATATCATATATGGTTACACTTATTTTGGTGTGTTTAATCATATATTAGTCAGTACAACATGTGTTTAATCATATATATGATTAAGGTTGTCTATCATACGTGTAATCATATATGACATTGAAACTTCTCGCCTTCTCATAAAATGTTTAACTTCTCGTTTGAACCTGACTCATAAAATACATTACTTATATACATATTATTTTATTGAATTTATATATGCTATTAATATTAGACAAGGGAAATTAAACCCAAAAATTTAGAAGTACTATTTTTCATTATATTCTCATAAAAATTTGTTAATATATATTTTATTTTTATGAGTTAAATGAGTAGATTTTAAAAACTTAGGGGTTGTTTGTTTACGTCTTAATAGTTCCATTAAGAGACAATCTCTGAATCGTTAAGAGGTGAATCTTGTTTGACAAAAAAAAAAAGTCTGTCTCTTAATGGTTCTAAAACCCTCTGAATGATTTTGTATCATGAGTCTCCCTTAATCATTAAGAGCCCTAATTTCATTGTAAACAATTATCAAACAATTATATTTCATTTGACACTATATCATGAGAGTTTCTTAATCATTCTGACCACTTAATGATTCTGCACAAAACCATTCAGCAACTGCCAAACAGCCCCTTAGCTACAAATGTAACCTAACAAATAAATTGACTGGGTTAAAAGCCTCTAAAATCAAACATAAATTGTTTCATTAAAAACAAATAGAAGGGTACTCACGTAATGTAGTGGAATACATCTCGACTTTAATGTTTCATTTTATTTTGTTATTTATCGATGTTATAATACAATATTATGTGGTTTTGAGAAAACGATAACGTTTTTATTTTAAATAAAATACAAATTTGAAGATATTATAAAATTTAAAAAATATATATATATTGATATTAGTATTAAATTAACTATTTAAATTTTTTTTAT